GCATCACAGAAATCCGCAGGCTGAGTAGCAGGCTGTCTTCCTACCCAAGGGTCCTCAAGAAAGAAGACTTTGAAAGGACAGTGCTGACCATGGTCTACACAGCCTACAGGGCTGCTCAGTCCCAGGGGCACCAGAAAGATGCTTGGGCTGAGTCCTTCGTCAATCTTTACAAAGCCCTGAAGCATGACCTAATGTTCCCATACAACAAAGAGCCCTCATAATGGGAGACTCGATGCAACGGCAACTCAGCCACCTCTTCTGGTTGATAAGGGACACATGTAGCACGTCCACCACTTTATTCTGTAAAGAGTTTAATAGTTTGCTTCATGAAAGATTACTTGTTGTCTAGCTCCCTCTTGTGGAATCCACTTTATAGTTCCATGTTAAATGGGGAAAAATGTTCTCTTCAGTCTTGGGAATTTGATATTTGTGCTGGCTTGGAGGCACGTTCTGTGACAGGCAAAGGAGAGACTCTGGTGTACACCCCAGACAGACATGCCCTTGTTTTATCCCGTGGGTTTCCTATAAGCAATACATAAGTCTACTATGCTTATGCTCACATACCTATGTGTATGTGCTGGAGAAAGATGCTTTCCTAGCTGGGGAAACAAGTTTGTATTTTGGCTGGCCAGTAAAAGAATATTATAAAGAGATGCAAAGGCCTTCTGTAAAAGTAAGAGGTTTCATAACTGTCAGCCTTTCGAAATTATGCCACATATTGAATAATATTCTTGTAAATAAGTATTGTCTGATTCACTTCATATGGCTGAGCCAGTTTTTAATTGCAATAAAATTTGCAGAAGACAAAGGGCATTGTGAACACCAGCAGCAAACAATGCCTGTGAACATATTCCCCGCTTCCTAGAGCTGCCCTCCCAAACAGTCTGCAATGATTCTTTCATTATTTGCACATGACTCTGCTTCTGCTCCTTAGTTTTTTGAAGGGAACATGGGTTTGTGCTCAGTGGAGTCAAAGGCAAGACAAAGGCCCTGTTTAATTTAACGATGACACATTTTTCCTGGTTCTATCACTTGAACCTAGGTCATCTAAACCTGTGCTTCAGAATCCCCCTGAGGCAAGGGAGGAAGGTGCATTAAAACATACCTGGTGCTGAATTTAGGAGTGTGGCTCATTTTTGATGGTAAATTATATGTTCATTTGTGTATATGTGTGTGTGTATGTTTATGCATGTGTGTGCACATAAGTGCCAAGAACATGGAAGAATCCTAAATTATTCAGTCAGGGAACAATAGTATTCGACCACTTAGCAGAAAAGGCCATTCACCAATCCAGTGGTGGGAACTATGAATTTGGGAGCAGTGGAAAAACAGTACTTGTTTACAGTAAAAATTGTTTGTAGAAATAGTGCAACTGACTATTATAAACTGCAAAGAAATCATGGACAGAAAATGGACAGAAAAAGAAGATATATCCTGTCAGACAGATGACTAGCAATGAAAAATCCAAAGTCTTCTAAAGCAAATCCCCTAATTTTTGTGAACAAATTATATGAACTTTGTTTCTCTATTGATATTAGCAGTGCTTCTAGTTCCAGAGCATGGGAGAACAGCTGAACATTTATTTAATCCTTTCATACCAGCTCTCTCTCTCTATTTGCATAATATGGTTGAACTTGATGATTTTTGAGGTCTCTTCCAACCATAATGATTCTATGATTCTACAATATGTTAAGGACACAGGCCCAAATCAAAAATCCCTGACTATAAAAGAGAATTGAGGATTCTAGCCCCAGTTCTGAATCACGTTTAACTACTTTTGCATCACTTGAGCAAAAAGAATGAACTCTTCTGTGTCCCTTAACAGGGATAGTCCAAGGACTGGAGCTGAAAAAATCCATCCAGCACCACCTTGTTGCAGCAAACAGCAAATAGTGCAAGCAGTCAGAGCACACTGGGTTTGGCAATCACTCGTGGGAATGTGGAACCTCAGCAGCCTTAGGGACAGACTGGCAATGGCATAAGCAGCTGGACAAAGGGCTTATAAAAGACAGAGTTAGTCCTGTTTAACCCAGCAGTTTCTGTACGTGTGTGCATGTTTGCAGTTAGATGCACAGGTGCACTTTTATACTTGAAGATCTTCATTGGCCATCTTCAAAGCCTGGCTGGCATATGGCAAAGGAAACCAAAAATCTCAACCACAAAGCTATAAGCCATAAGTATCTCCGTCTTCTCTGCTTGCACACACTGTGCCCACAAAGCAGCCTTGTGCTACAGTCCACATGCCTCTTAAACCTTCAGCATTAACACTGATGATCCATTTGTGTTTTCTTCCCTCACCATGCTTTATAAACACATGGAGGGGAAATGCCATAGAGCACAGTCCTGTCTTTCCAGCTCTGCTTCTTGGGTCCCTGAAGCACCACTTGCCAGAAGAGCCTGGAACCAGGGCAATTCATAAATTCCTTACAGCCAGTGACTCAAAGTCTGCAAAGATAACAAGAAAACACCACAGCATGTATTAATTGCTATCAGTCACCATTCAAAGAAATACCTCCCAGCCACTCTCCTCACCCCACAACAGGACTGTCCAGCAATCAGACTTTACTCATCAGTAAGTATCCCATAGAAAAGAATTACAGATAATTTTTTGAGTATCTGATCATTCCCTATGGCATACATACCTTACTGTACCTTACAAATTGATAATTGAAAACTTTACCTCCTCAACAGAAAATAAAGTTTTTCTGAGTTTGATTCCTTCCTCCCATTACTGTGTGAATTGTAGGAAAAAGATATATTCCTTGGAAATGTGCTTGGATTGCCTAGGTTAATTTAACAGAGACTATCACTGTAAAAATAAAATTATTCTGCATAAAACTTACTGGGTTTACATTGTATTGATTTCAGCAGCAGATTTACTATTTAGCAACTTGCAGCTTGAGTAATTGGTTGTCTCGGACCATGAAACTCTTCATGGGAGCAACGGTACAGGACAGAAGAGGGAACAACCCTTTCCTCTGATGGGCAGGAGGAGGTAATAAATAGGAACGGGACTGCTTCTTTTTTCCAGAGTTAAAGTGGGAAGAAGCACTCTGCCTCAGGGCAGCTCTTTGGGCTTAAGGCAGCTTCCCTCCCTCAGTATCGCTTAAGATGCAGGCGTAGGTTGCCTGCTCCTTAGCTCAATTTGCATCTCATCACTTCAGACTGAGTCATGTTTATAGACAGTCCTTCTCTCACAGGGTAAACAGCCATTGCCTCTAAATGGCATCCTTTATCTACCCTTTGACCTTACAGATCATAAAAAAGTAACATAAAGCATAGTTTTTTTCATTTAAAATAAAATATTTTTAAAATTTTTAAGTATTTTAGACATTCTTTTAGTTTCTCTGAAACAACTGACAAAACAGATACAAATTCCCTGGCTGTATTGGCCAACCCAAAATTTTCACATTAACTATATTTTTGCTTCCAGAACTAATGCTAAATTTGCCTGAAGAGTCTCAAGGTTCTGTTGCTTGATCGAAGTTTTAAGGTATAGAAATTTTACATAGTCTTAGATACAATTATTAATTTCAAGAAGAATTCATCCTGCACATCAAACTCCTCTGCAGGTCTGCCTTTGCCAGTTCTCCAGGACTCACTGTCACAGAAGCATCACAGATCAGTCTCGGGAGCTCCATGTGTGTCCGACTGGCAGAGGGTGGGGAGACAATAGGCAAGCAAGGTTTGGGAGTATGGAAAATCCTACGTGTGTAGCTTTCTATGAGATACAGGGCAAATGGATGTCTGCCTACAGGTAGTGCGTGCAACTAGCCAACGGATTCAGTCCTAAATCTCCAGTAATTTCTGCCCCACAAACAGCATTAATAATGACAGAGTCGTAGAAATGTCTCTCCACTGGAAGACTAGAGTAGAAAGCCTAAAAATTCTCTATTTGAGTCTGAATCCTATGGTTACTGAGGGCACATGAATCAGTAGAGAGATCAGTGCATGCCTTACGAACAAGCAACCTTCAAGGATCAGGATGGAAGAAATATGAAAGACTGTTTAGAAAACAATTATTATTTATTTATCATCAGTACTGGGACCTTGAAACAATAACAAACTGTTCAGCAACTTAAAAAAGGTCTTTTTGTATGTTTGTGTGCATGTTGGAAAAAGGAGGCTGCTGATTTTCTCAAATGTTCTGACTGGCTTTTGGATAATGGGTGGAGCAACTACTACCTTCCATAGTCCTCATTGGTGAATTAGAGCTGCATGAAGGTTTTTAACAAGTTTTTATCTTGAGAACAAGTATAATCTGTGTTGGAATTGCTGCCCTGTGAATTCCAAGCTCAGGGCAAAAGTAGGGTAAAGGTAGATGCAAAGTAAAAGCCAAAACTATAGCAAAGGGACAAAATCTGAGAGGAGCTGCAGATGATTTAATTGTTTTGGGTTTTTTGTATGTTGTTTTTGTTTTTGTTTTTGTTTTTTAAGAAGGAATACCTGCAAATTTGCTTCTGTGCACTGAACAATAAATTGCTGGTTTTAATAATTTTCCAGTAGAAAAGACACCTGCATTTGAGACATTCAGACTACCAAACAAGAGGAAAAGCAGCAGCCTGAAACATATCTTACTGAGTTTAAGAAAACAGGAATTACGTTGCTAGATGATGGAAGAAAACAACTTTCCAAAATATGGGCATAAGGATGCAACACAGCTACACCTGTGATTCTGAATTAAAAAGAAAAATTGTCAAAAGATCACTATGTTCCAATTTGCAAACCTCTGCATGTTATGGTGTGATAAAAATTTGGATGTGCTGGTGAGCCCTACATAAACTGAATATCTTTTTAGTTGAAAAATCTTTTCAAAACAACAGATTGAAGAACAAATAAATTAAGAAAGCTATTTTAGGTCACTGTGTGGGGACAGGAAATGAGGCAGTGAGACACGTTTTGGGGAAATCCAGGCACAGGTGAAGGAAAACGTGGAGTGGAAGTTGGAGTACCTCAGGAACTGGAGAAGAAACCCAAGGAGAAGAAAGCCACCGGAAAGTATGGCAATGATGAAGGAGGTTCTCCGATCCAGAAATCTCTTGCTGGTTGTTCTCATTCCACTTCTGCTGCTTCCTCTGCCACTCTTATATCCCAGCAGCGTAAGTACATTTTCATTTTCTTTTTAACAAAGCCCCTGAGTGCAGTAGGTAGTTATGCTGGCTAAGTCTGCAGTATGCAAAAAGAAAGGTAAAGACCTAAATAAGCGTAACTCTTAGAAAAATCAAGGACTCAAATTTGAAGGATTGGGAAGGTCACTGAGAAGTCATCACAGTAAGAACCAGAGCTACCTTGAGTCATGTCACAAGCAGAGCTGAAGAACTAAGCGAAGCTAGTAAAGCACTACTTTAAAGCAGAAATATTGTATCTCTTCTTTTTCTACAATAAAGTGTGTGTGGAAGGGGGAACAGAACAAACATAGCCATATAATTTTTTTTAAGGAGAGTTATTTAAAAGGAATACATCTAGTGTCTTTAGTTTTTAGCAATAAGTATGCACGGAGAGACTTTCAATTTCAGTGTGGGTTTATAGGAGAGCAATTCATGTGAGGCAGGAGCTAGGACTCAGTGACAGACTTGTAGGACTGTACATGGCATTGACTACACTAAAGCAGGTGTAGGTACATCTACTGAAACATTGCAGCTCTGGCAGTGGCTAATAAATGATGGCTCAGAGGCATACACAACAATACAAAGGAGGGAACAGTCTGTGTTTAGCACACAGACCAGGGAACAGGAATGAATGCAGCTGCATTCCCAACGCTGGTTTGGAGCTACTGAGTACCCCTGGCCATGTGGTTAACTCCTCTCTATGCACATCTCTGCAGTTGTAAACCATAAAATAATGTTTTCCTACATTATAGAGATGGTGATGTTTAACTTACCAAAATTTGCAATGTATTAAAAATTCTGCAGCTGGTGTTTCCATAGTCCTAGACATAAATCTGGCCAAATGGTGTAGCAATTTCCTTTCTGTCCTCTATCCTGCTAAAGATTAATTCTTCTTTCTAGTACCAGAGGATTTGTGAATACTACTACTCTATCAAATAGAAATGCAAAGGATTAGAAATTGTATGGCAGTTTTCAAAAATAAAACTGTAGCATTTTGTTTGGAAAGGAAAACAGAATTCATAGAAAGGAAAAGTTCCTACATCACTGAACTGTATGTTGCAGTTTGGATGAGTTTTCCTGCTCTGAACTTCAATGTATAACTTGGCTGTCCTCTTATAGTAGTTTTCCATCTCCTCTCTCTCAAGAGAGGGAATGAATGACAGACAATCATACTTTTCTTCAGAGAACAGCAGAGCTCACTATTTCACAGGGGCTTGTTTTAAAAAAGGGTTTAATCTCCCCCAGTGTCACTGGAAGGGCAACATAAGAACAGATACTCCCTGACATGCCTATATGGCAGTGTTACTGCAGCATGCTCCCTTGAGAACCTCTCCTAGGAAACACGAGATTCACTGCACTAAAATTTGTCACTCTTGTTTGCTCCCTATGGGATTCAGAGGCACAGAATGCAATAAGGAAACTCTTTAATAACCAAGGGGATTGTAATAGCATCATATGGGTGCTGAAATAGACGTTAACTGACAGTATTGCTTTAAGAATTGCTATTATACAGTGCAAGGTCCTCTGCACTATTAGTCTGCACCTCATAGTGTTACTTTACTGCAAAGTGATATGAAAAGCCATCAGATGATGTTTTACATCCACTTTATATACACATGAATGACCACAGACGGTAAAGTATAGCTGTGAATCTGACCCAGAGTTGGACAAATGTTTATAATGCTATTAAGAAAACATCTACACCAAATAAACTCAGTTGACAATACACTATTCAAGTTGTTTAGTGTAGTATTTACTTTGTTACAACTCATTGACTTCATTACTTCTTAAACCTGAAGATTAAATTTGTCGCCTGCTCACTCATTTGTATTTTATGAGACAATCATATTAGTTTTCTGTCTTTCTTACAGAGATCAGAATTACCAGGTGGTTTATATTTGCTTTTCTGTGGGGAAACAGCTTGCAGCTTCTTTGATGTTAGCAGCACAACTCTGGAAATGTTAAAGGAACATGACATGTATAGTCTCAAGAGCGATCAAAGGGAGTACAAGGACTCAGAACTGTTTGTAGATTTGACTAATAAGAATAATGTCCACCCTTTCTTTTCTATTAGTTTGTGACAAGAAATGGTTGGGTAAAAAATAAATCTGAGAAAATTTGCTTGAATTCTTCTCCCCTTTCCAAAGTTTATGCTTGAACTATGATTTGTACAGCAGGTTTGAGACATGCATAAGTGCCGTTCAGATCATGACACTTACACAAAAAACCATTGTGTGCTTTACAAACTGTAGGTCTTTTTATTCTGTCCATATTTCCCTTATTGTTAAGTGACATGGGAGCATTTTTGCCTCTTTTTTTTTTTCATCTTTATCCACCTTTTTTCATAAAACCACCAGTGATACCATAAAGCATGCTGCATGAATTCAGTCGGTTGTGAGCAGGGTCTCCTATGACTGCTGATAGTGTGGCCACACTGAACCTGACCAAGGACACATGGGTGACTTCTCAAAAGTCAGCAAGAGTTGTTATAAGCTGTGAGACTTGCAGCATCAGGTGATGTTGACACCTTGACATGCCAAATCAGCAGAATGGACCCTAAAGCACAGAACATGCTCTGAACAGCCACCAATAGCATACTTTCATTCACCTTTCTTTTTATTTACACAAGCTGAAGGGAAGGAATTATAGTGTGATCCCATAAGCTCAAAGATGGTAGTTCAGAGGTTAGACTACCTCTTTTTTGCACAGCTTAACCACATACCTGCATGCAAGATATGCAATGCACATCCTTAAGTGGGCAAATCTCCAACACACAGTTTATCTTCTTTTTAATCACGCTGAGATCTTCAGATGTTTTAGTTACAAATTTTTTATGCCTGACCCTTATTGTGGAATTTTTAGCCATGGCTTTCTTTCAGGTGCTCTTTTCTTTTCACCTAAGGGACTGACTGAAGACAGGGGGTAGTCCCTCCTACAACCCCATGTTTTCCTATTCCCTGCTTCAAGCCCTGAGGTAGGCTTAACAGTAATTTTCAGTTGTACAAGAAGTGAGAAGGGTGAAACAGTTAAAATTATACAGCCATTACTTCAGTCCAGTACTTAGTAGCTCTGGTAACCATTAATTAAATATACAAATTCAGTTAAATTAAATAGAAGAGATTAATATGATTTCTCTTGGAAATGAGCTGGTTTAAAGCATTGAGAAAATTTGCTAGATAAGCTGATTAAGTTTTTAGTGGAGATTATCAAACTTAGCTTTCCTAGTACTTGCTACCCAGTTTTATACCATTTAAAAATCTGCTTCATTTTAGTTTTGTTTGTAAACTGATTACAGTCTAGTGTATAGGAAACACAAAGACTCAGTGCCCAGGCCAGCTAGGTTTTGATAGCGATGCAACTTCCCTTTGTCCTATTCCATTTCCACTATCAGTTTACTTTATTGCTACACACAGAGGAGCAATAGAAAATAACAATCTATGCTCAAAGAAATTAAAAATAAGTATATTTTTGGAGTAAGAAAATAGTTTGGAATCAGGTTAGGATGAAAGTAATATTATTAATTTTGTCAAAACATATCTCTTGAATCTTACATCTGCACTGTTTTAAAATAAAAATCGATGCTTTTTCATTAAAAGTAATTTTTCTCCTCAGACGACTGCTGAACGTCATACAGCCCATGCAAACATAGTAGTTTGCTAGCAGAACCTAATGATTTTAAAAATAAAAACTGTGTTAAATAGTCACCAGGTCACAAAAATGACCCTATGATCTGCTCTCTGTGGAATATTAACCACAAAGTATAATGTAGTTAAAGATGAGCAGCAAGTTGGCTAATGTTTATGAGCCAATCCATCAGCTCCGTGACTCTCATCTAAAATAGTTTTGTCTTCCTAGTAGCGATTACTAAAAATCTCTAATGCCTGTCATCTCACTTTTTAAATAATTTCAATTTTTAAGCCAAAATTATTTGTTTGGGTTTTAATGAGTGATCACTTAAAGTTGTTACAAAGTGAACACCAGTCTTTGGAGTTTCAAACAGGTTAGCAATTCTATTTTAAAAAACACATGCTTCATAATCCATGAATATTAAAAAAAAGCCCTCTGATCTCATCCATTCTAAGCCAACCTTCTCTAGCCTCTCATTATTTTTTCTTGGTAGCAATGAAGCTACCACTGCAATACAATCTTTTATTGTAATATTTTGCTGAAGGACCTGATCACAGAGGATTTGTGAAACCTGTATTGGAGAGCTTAAAACCTAAACCACTCTTCTATAACAATTAAGGAAGAGAAACAAATATGCACATTTCTGTGTGGTTCAGAGTACTTATCCATCCATAAAGGAACAACCCAGAGCAAAATTTCTCTTTCAGATACTCTTTATAGTCTAAAGCAATTGGAGTTTATCTGATTCAAGGAAATTATGTTTCCTGATAACCTTATTTCAGTTATTTTGGTGGCCCTGCTTACTTGAATCAGAACTGTTTAATGTTATACTTTTCTGAAACAGAAGTCTGAGTAAGGTCTGGCAGTTAATTTAAACCCAAGCTTCTAAGTAAGCTTGGCTGCAATTTTTTAAGCAAGGAAAGAAAATGACACATAGCAATCTATCTGAACTTCTTCTCTGGGCTGTGTTCTGCCTGTTATTACTATAAGCTATACTAAAAAACAGGAACAGCTGATTGTGGCTCTTTGTTAGGGGTAATGTAAAAAGGACACATATAAACATGATTTTAAATAGAAGCTATTGATTCATTCCATTGAACCCACATCCATGTATAGTCTTACTTTAGTCTTTACCACCTTGTTCACAAAACTGGTTGAAAAAGAATGAAGTATAATACACGGTTCTTGATTTGCACAAGGTTCTGTGGAATTGTTTTTGTGACTTCTTGAAAGCTGCTTAATTTGGGAGTCATCCAATCAGGAAACAGAATTAATGAAACTGTATTTTAACACATCCAAATAGCATTTGTTAACAGTGAATTTTCTAAACAGTTGCCATTGTGAGCTGTGAATCCACACGGCTAGATAAGTTCATATGGAACAACCAGTGAATAATGAAGAATGGCTAGATTTATAGCTGGTGTAAAGCAGTGCAGACCTATGAACTTCCACAGAACTGCCAGTTAGCTCTGGTACAGGAGCTGGCTTGAAATTTGAGAAAAGGAAAGGAAAAACATTTTCCAGAGTGTAATTTCTGTAATTAACAGGAAAAAAACTGAGTCTAAAGAGAACTCCACTGAATGCCATAAATAAAGACATATCTGTCTAAAGAATGGACCAGAAGAGTTCCATGGGCTAGCTGTGTTTTCCTGTAAAAATATTCAACAGATAGCACCTTTCTCCATCATCGACCAGCTCTCCATGACTGCTCAGCACGACGTTGTCATGGCTTTCTCACCAGAACCTTGGACAGCAGCAAATTTGATGAACTCTGTTCACCCGTTGCCTCTAAGCCCTTCAGGTCTGTTGTCTTCTTCCAAGCGTCTGTGGAAACTGCCTGAGAAAATAAAATCAACTGACAGAAAATGCAGGTTTGCATACTGTTTAAAAAAAGCAATTTTTCAGAGTATTTCCCAAAAGAGCCACAATGTAGCTTTATCCGTTCTATGGCAGATGCGAATGTTCTTATCTGATCCTGAAAACTGTGAGTTCTTGTTCTTGTCCAATATTGGAGAGAAAGCTGTATGGAAATACCAGCTGTATAGGTGTCTGAGGAGTCATGGTTGAATGCTTGGCAGTGATTGGATTATGGAAATCAAACAAATCTGTAAATGCACTTGGAACCATTATTTTGCTGATAAATATGTTTATCCGAATGTTTTTCCCTAGCTTACTGTGAAACCTTTCATTACATCATCTTCTGGAACTGGCGTTTCAGATGGTAGCTTATATTTCACACCCAAGCAGCTGCACCTCAGGAGGTCCTTATGCTGTCCTTGTTGAGTTTTTTAAGTACAGACACCCACAGTCTAACAAGTCTTATGAATGCATTCACCAGGGTTCCACAGCAGGTGGTGGAGCAGTAACATGTAACCTCTGTGTTTTCTCCCTACAGGAAGCCTCATGTGCCTATGTGCTGGTTGTGACGGCTGTGTACTGGGTTTCTGAAGCAGTACCTCTTGGTGCAGCAGCCTTAGTCCCTGCTTTCCTGTACCCACTTTTTGGAGTCATGAAGTCCAGTGAGGTCAGACCAGCGTGCACTTTTTTATCATTTAATATTCCTACTCTCAGTTAATTATTTGAGTAAAACTAATCTTAGCAGACTAGCAAGACAAAGATGCATAGGAGGAAGAAGAGTACATCTTGTAATGTGTAACTAGGGCCAACCAGTTCTTTCTTCTACTGCAGATAGATATAGGAAAGGCTCTGATAGCCAAGAGAGGTGTCCATCCTGTCAGCTACTGCATCACCAACAATTCCCAAAACCTGTTCCATCAAAGGATCCCACCTTTCCCCTCCTCCAAAACCATGTAAGCAGCATTTATGGGATAAACTGTAAAGTTTCCTTCCAATTATATTTATTACAGATGATGTATAAGGCAAGAGGCTACATATGCTAAAAACAGTTACCATTTACTGTATAAGACTAGATAATTTTGTTATCCAGGCAAATGTCTAGTCCTTTTTCCAAGCTGTAACCTTAGTGCTGCCTTTTAACCATGAGTTCTAAGGCAAAAGAGTAGCCATGCGAAAGTCTCTATGATCAGTTCTGAATTTGCTTACTTGAGGTCTTTTTGAATGTTGCTTTCTTTCATGATATGCCAAGAAATCATTTTATTTAATCTACAGCTTTTTTCCCCCGCTTTTTTCTCTCTCTTTTGGGAGTGAGGGGCCATCACACATATTTATAAGGACTAGAAATACAGATAAGAACACACAAGTATATATAGCAACCATAAAACTGTTGAATTTCTAACACAATCTAGCACTGGGCATACCCATAAACGGATGGAGTCAAGCATGAACCAAGAGTTTTATGACCTGTCTTGTTCCTCCCAGTGGTGTAACAATGGTATAATATAATCAGATACATTTCCATACCAACACAGTTAAATATTTTCAGGATTTTTTTTCCTGACATAAAGGTAAAGTATTTACCCATCTTCATTACAAAATTCTGCAGCATATTGGAGAAGGAAAATTTAAGGGCAGTCGGACAGAAATTTAATGTAATATTAAATTAAATGACAGTGAGACAGAATTTATTTTAAAATAAACTCTGATGATGCTGCAATATTTCCAGTCTGCTGTTCTGGAGTGCCAAAGAAACCCAGGGCTCTTGCCTAGCAGTTTAAGCCACAAATAACTCACAGGGGCTTAAGAAAATGAGCCAGTGTGTTGTATATGTGTATGTGTGTATTAATAAGAATATTAGTATTCACTTGTTTCTATAAAATGGCTGTGAAAGGAATAAAGGAAAACAACAGATTCTTTGTGCAGCTGGCTTGATGGATTCCTTTCATTCAGCTCAAGATCTTTTTTTAACAAGGTAGCAGGAAAATAAAGTTAATGAGAAAGAAACCAGCGGAAGAAAGGCAAAAAAGTGATATTTAAATGTTCTGGCACACAACTGTGTTAGCCAAGTCTATTTAGGTCACCATGGGGATTTGCTAAATAAATATAATTAAATACTTAACTTATTGCAGCTTTCACAAAATAACGTTAGTGTCATTCTTGCACTTCTACGGAGAAGTGTCAGTATAACTGAGGACAATGGAAAAAATACTTCTTCTACTGATTTTAATGGTTTTAGAATGCTGACATCTACATTTGGTTAAAGGAATAGTTTTAAACTGAAGAAACAATGTTTTTGGAAAAATATGCCAGCAACAGCTTGGAAAGGATTGCATCAGAATTAAATGAAAGATTGAGTTAGACTCAAAGCATCTGTTTGTAACTTTTGTTTTCTCCCATTTTGTTTGCTTTTACACAAGAGTGTGTGTGCGTGAATGTTTTTGTTTGCTTCGTTTGTTATTTTTGCAATCACTTCACAGAACATCTTCTCATATCTTAGCAAGCCCCACATTCAATAATGCTGCTTTGGAGAATCATGTGTGGTCTCTGAATTTTTTCCAAAGTCAGTTGATTTTTGCTTATCCCCTTTAAATTAAAGTTCTCTTTTTTAAAACTTTGCTTTATTTTCCTGATACAATGGAGATGGATTTCCACTGTGAAAAGTTCTGGCACTGGGTTTGTGGATCATCGCAGCAATATCCCCACCTTTCTTTATTGCATTCAGAGAGCATGTCCCAAAGGACTTTTTTCTGAAGCTGTAGGTTCTAGGGATGCCACATTTTGCCTAACAGTTGAACAAAACATAAGGAATATAAACAAGATAGACAACAACATCTCCAGAATGAAAAAGCAGATGAAGCATGTGAATAATCTGCCTTCAGTGCAGAGGTTTGTCTGTGGCTGTTTCAGTCTGGGCCTAGCTAAGTATGACTGAGGTAGTGAACATCCTGCTCAAAGACGTAAAATTTCTCCTGATCTCTTCAAAACTGAGAAACTTACTAGCAAGTGGGTGTACAGCCTTGTTATTTGTAAATACAACATGAAAGAGATTAAAGAGAACATTTTGACTTATGAATTCTTCATTTTCTTCAGCTCCATGTCATTCTTTCTCTAGGAGGAAAGAAACCACAGTACCATCTTTCTTCTCATTCAGCATGCTCTCTTTGTAGGGTAGCTACTGCTTTCTTAACTGACTATTTCCCCATTACTCTTAATGCAGGTGGCTGCTGAATATTTCAAGAACACAACTTTGCTCCTCATGGGTGTGATTTGTGTGGCAGCTTCTGTAGAAAAGTGGAACCTCCACAAGCGGATCGCCCTGCGTATGGTCATGATGGCTGGAGCAAAGCCAGGCATGTGAGTGAACCTTTGACTTCGGTGTAGTCTGAGGCTGACAGCAGCAGCTTGAAAGACCAAATAACAACTCTGACTTTCCCATCCATGGGAAAAAGCTGGCTTGGTTTAAGGCTCTTTTTCCTACCCACCTTTCCTTTCAGAGTTTGAAAGTTTACAAATTTTCTCATCTTCTTCCTGCCATTTTCTACTCCTTGGCTTGTTGTCCCTTTGCTTTCTGTCTTTTACTGATACTGATTTTAGTCTCTCTGTTCCTTCTTTGCCTGTTGTTTAGCAAACACAAAAGGATGCTTAAATCCTGGATATGCTGAAAATCACTGTTTCTCATGTCACATACTGATTTCCACGTGGGGCAGCAAACAGCTTCCAATGATACTTCGTCTTATGACAGTTCTCAGCACAAGGCACCATTTTATCTGCAAACAGCATGATATTTTGGCACTAGCAAAAAGAAAAAGACCCCATGTAGTTATCAGTTCACTAATGAAAACATTAGGCAAAGAGGCCTTTAATATTTTTGGAAGTGCCTCAAGAATATTTCTCTGTGTTGTACTCCAGGTTGCTTCTTTGCTTTATGTGTTGCACCACGCTGCTCTCCATGTGGCTTTCCAACACATCCACCACAGCCATGGTGATGCCAATCGTGGAGGCAGTGCTCCAGGAGCTAGTGAATGCTGAGGAGGAGCGTGAGGTCATCAGTACCACAGGCAGCACCATTATTGAAGAAAACGAGCCAATAGGTATTTGTCAATATTGGCCATTCTTTTCTCATTTATCACTGACCAGACTCATTGATACATATTATTAAAACTCTATCAAGGTCAGAGCTACTTGACTTGTATTGCCAAAGACATTGGTTCATAATCTTTCTTTTTGTGCTCTGATATTTCTTTCAAAAAAATGAAAGGAAATTTGAAGAATGGGAGAACTGAAGTTGGGAAACTATTTATGTTGAATGACGGCATGTATTGAAGTTTGTGTGTCATAAACTCTTATGTCATAGGATTATACAGGGTTGAAAGAAAACCTCTGAGAAAAAAGTCAAAGAAATGTAGAAGAGGCCCAAAAGTGTGCTCTGTGACAATCCTGTGCTTGCTTATTCTACTCCTGCCCTTCCAGGCTGCCCAGGTCAGAGCAGGTGCCACAAAAACAATTGATAAGAGCTCCAAGTTTCATTTTGTTCATTCCTTCCCAGAGGAAAGGATTATGTAGTGATAGGACAAAGGGCAATGACTTTAAACTTGAAGAGGGTAGATTTAGATTATATATTAGGAAGAAACTCTTCACTATGAGGGTGGCGAGGCACTGGAACAGGTTGCCCAGAGAAGTTGTGGATGCCCCATCCCTGGAAGTGTTCAAGGCCAGGTTGGATGGGGCTTTGAGCAATCTGGTGTAGTGGAAGGTGTCCCTGTCCATGGTAGAGGGATTGGAACTTGATGATCTTTAAGGTCCTTTCCAACCAAACTATTCTGTGATTCTGCGATTCTATGATGATTTGAGAAGAAAAGAATCTCTCTTTTCTCTCAGTTCACAGATTCCAGGCTGAAAATGACGTCATCTAACCTTGCCTATTATATGTAGGTATGAGAGTCTTTTAATTGCCAGAGGCATGTGATCAGGACAACACAACAAAATGCTCCATAAGGGTCACAGAGTACCTGACACAGTTTGGACAAGATTTTGCTTGCAGTAGCTTCGCCAGGTTCAGTGGTGTGGCCTAGGGTCTCAGCTCAGTTCTTACCCCAAGGGCTGCCTTCTCTTCCTTTGTTGCAGGTCTCAGCGAAAAGCATGGCCAACCTTCATTGGAGCTTATCTTCATCAATGAGGAGTAAGAATGAACCCTGTACATCACGACTGGAGATTTGAGCCCTACACAGGTTGCAATGAGATGAACCCAAGAGTAGAGCCAGGAAGGGCAAACAGAAGCTTACAAGTGAATGTTTCAGATGTGACTGAAAAGGAAGGCTTATATGAGAAATGAGATTAATGTAATGGTCTGGATCTCACTAAAGCTTCCCAGTATTCCTTTATTTTTTAACACTATGGCCATTTCAGAAAGAAGGAGGATGTTTCTCAGGGTTTGAAAGATCTTTTGAAGTGTATGTTTGTGCTGTGCAAGACAGTGCTGTCCACAGGTTTTTATTTCTGTTCCCCTGAAGGAACAGTGATGAAGAGGATCCAAGCACAGTATGGAGTGCTCACAGGACATATCCAGAGGGAAGACACTTACAGAGGTTTCCTGTGAAAGTCTGAACTGTCAACAGCATTCGAGAGAGAGATGAGAGCTGGGGGGGGGCAGGGCCCAACAAAAAAGACCCTTCTTCTCCCCCAAAAAACTGTAAAATATTTCTTTTAATATAGGCAAAGCTCTTCAGAAGTTTGAAACACTAACTGTTTCAACTAGGTCTCTATTTGGAGTACAATCTAGTAAGGTGAAAAGGGTAAATCAAGGAAAGGACTAATTTTTTTGTCAAATTATCAAATTATCCAGCAGTTCAAGATACACAGGAGAATACACAAAGTTATTGCCCTAAAACTATGTTATAGGTTAAATCCTGAGAAGCTGCTTCTTACAAGGTGTGAGAATAAATTGCACAGTCCCTTCTTGAGCTCCTTCTGTATTGTTCACAAGTGTTCAAAGTAAAAGAGAAACAAGTTCTTGTTACACCTGTAAAAATTTACTTTTAAACAAACATTATCATTTAAACAGCACATGTTGATGATTTTAAGTTAACTTGCAAGATCAAATAGTTTTCTCATTATTCTGGACACTAATGTGTTCTCCAATATGCCCTCTGTTATCTCTTTTTATCCCATCTACACTTTCTGTGCAGTATAGAATCAAATTTTCAGTTTGGCATTGTGTCATTAATCCCTTTAAGCCCTATTAAAGAGTATGTGTGGGATATTTCATAATAGAACTATTATTAAAATAACATTACCTGAAAAAGAGATTGAAATTTGGTGGGAAAAGTAGCACATCTTCTAGAATTAAATCTGTTTTCAATGTCAAAGTAAAAGTTCAGTGGATTGTTTGCATGGTCCACATGTCACACAGGACAGATTTTAGTGAAGGCTTTAATGTGGCACAGGTAGGTGCTCAGAAACAGCACTGGAGAGATTGTCAGAAGAAGAACTTCAGCAGAACAAGACAGAGGTAGGGCTGGATTGCCCAGTGATTCACTCCACTGTGAATGGACTTCATTCCTAGAATGGGGTATATACTATCTAGAATACATAGTTTTTCTTGCATGAACATGGAACCCCATTGCTACAGAGCTAGACATAGAGCTGTGAAACATAATGATGACTCTCATATATCCGGCCAAGACACCACATAAGAGGTACTAATAAATAGTATTCATCACCATTTCAGTAGGCACTAGTTCTCCTGCAGATGTTGCCTCTCTTGCCCATGATGTGTAGCTTTTGAGGGAGCTGGGTAAATAGGCATTTTTAAAGTATATTTTTCTTTCTTTGTTTTTAGTGCTACTACTACTGACTTCAGCTCCTTGATGCACTCAAAGGTATTGTCATAGGTAGTATTTTCTGAGCTACACTGTCCTGTAATGCAGGAACCATCAAAGCAGAGTCTACACAGCTCTGCAACAAACTGCTGTTTCCTTTATTTCAAACAAGTAGTGGTTGTTGTCAGACAGTTCATATTGCAGAATGTCCTGCTTTGTATTTAACCTATCAGCCTGCTTGCACAAATCAATTTGGGAAATATTAGCTCTGTAGTGTTTGTTTTTATTGCTGGAGATCCTGAGATTCAGTCAGTAAACTAACAATTCCATATGGTTTCTAGCAAGTTCAGATACGATTTTTTATTGTCCAGCTATTGCCAGCTTCTGCAGCTGAGACACCTCAGTTACTAGGACAGCCTACACATATCACAAAGTCACAGCCTCTGGCAAGGGACCTGTTACATTCTCCTACATGGCAGAGGGAGAAGACCTAAACTGATTATAATCTGACTTTTGAGATCACTTTAAAATAAAATCAGTTTGCTTTTTTTTTTAAAAAAAAAAAAACAATAACTTTTTTTTCCTAGTGTAAAGTTTACAGCTGAAATTTTAGTGGTGTTTTTGTTTGGTTGTTCTGGTTTTTTTTTCTTCTCAAAAGCCCACTATGTATGAGTTTTACAAAGCATCACAAAATCTGATCTAAGAGCCCCTAGGAACAGAAGAAAGGCTAATCCAAAACCATTTGTCTCCCTACAGAGTATGAATGGTGTGCACATGATAGCCAACCCTATCGGAACGGTGAATTCTAAGAGCAATGGGCAGCACCTACCTCAGGTAAGGAGATGTTAGACCCGGGGTGTGAGGGAAAAGATAGACATGAACATCACCTGCTCCCCACTGTTTCATATTTGTTCCTTCTAAGCTGTGTTACATGAAATTGTTTTCCATCATCTTACAGTAGTCATGGCTTGGCCATTTGCTAGTTCTTGCTCCCATTTAGATGGCCCCAGCACAGGTATGTTCAGAAGACCCTCTCCCAATGGCTGGTACAATTCATTTAGCTTTACATTCAGTAATGTGATCGCAAGTTTCCCTTTTTATTTGGCTGTTCTACCCACTTTATTTCTGCAAAGCCTCCTTGGAAAATAGCCCAACTCAAAAATAATAACCCCTGACACACAAAATCCTACTCAGAATTAAACCAGCGGCAGCCATGGACCATTTAACTGTTCATCCAGTTCTTTAGGTAGTCTTAGTATCCACCTCCTTTTTGTCTTGCCAAATATCCACCCTCAAAATCCTCCATTACGTAAGTTGATTCCAGTATTTCTCCTTCTCCTGAGTGGATCCAAGAAGTGATTGCTGTTTAGACTACAACTACATAGTATCTTAATGGCATAAATTGATGTCAAGGAAAGATCAGGCTAAAATCAACACACAAATTTGCATTCACAGTTCAAAAGAATCTGAGTGTATGTTCCAAAAAAAGGCTAATACACTGCTCCTGATACTTAATTCCCTCTTACACCCATTTCCCATACACATTCAGTGGTTATTTTGTAACTAATGTCCTCTACTTTTAACCTACAGGGATTTCAGCCAGGGTACCCTCATAATGATGATTAGCCTATAGCATGACTGATTTTACCACGTAAATCCAAATCCAAATTAATAAATTTAAGAAATCTATCTGAATCACTTGCTGCCTTTTTCCTGATCCTAAATTACAGCCTTGGGTTGCATGTGAAGTGCCTTGAAGTGCTGTACTTTTTTTTCCAGTACAAGAACTTGATTTACCAACATAGAGAATTTCCTGTCACTGTTAAGCAAGCTTCTTCTAAAGAAATATTTTCCTGCAGCTTTTTCTTCTATATTCCTATTGCACAGCTTTTTTTTGGTGCTATTTCTGAGACCTCTAGCACTACATTCTTAATTAGAGGCCCCGAGTCAGTATAAGTGCAAAAAATCCACCAAGCATTTGTCTGGTGGTCGCTCATAACCCTCGAGGATTATGGATTCCTGCTGCTGCAGTGCTGGCATCCAGCCCCTGCAGCCCACAAAGGCTTTTGGTATCCTGCTGAGATTCCAGTCAGAACTGGAGTTGACCCAGACCATCGCCAGAAGTCCGATTACTGTTTGTCCTACATTCCTGACACAGACCAGGCCATTTCAGGCCCCTGGACAAGTTTCTCGTTCTGATCCCAGTTAATCCCTGTGCAGAAAAAAACTGCCCCCTCTTACACAAACCTGTTGTTTCTCTGGGACCGGTATCACCATGGCATTAGAGCAAGTTGGGCTGCTGTTCTGATCACCTGCTTTCTTTGGTGAATGTATCCCTTCACAGGCTCAGATACTGATCCTGCCTCCTAAGCCCTCAGAACTGGGCCTGAGCACTAAGTACCGGTATCAGACCAGACATGACCACATGGTCTGTAAATGCCTCTCACTGAGTATCTCCTACGCAGCAACCATTGGAGGACTGACAACCATCATAGGGACCTCCACTAGCCTCATATTCTTAGAGCACTTCAACAAGTAAGTGATATTGTGGTTGTGTGAGACTGGTGGTTGGGTCATTACCATCTCTGCGGCTTTCCCAGTGGATTATTTACTATCTCAAGGAACCCTTGTAAAGCAGTCTCTCTGAAGGCAATTTTGTTTCCTCCTCTACTCTAATGTTATTATTAATGGTTAGTGGTTGAAAGGGGGAGCTTAAGTTAATACATATCCATGCCTTTCTCCCAAGCAAAATAAAAATTCCTCAGCATGTAGTAATATTTAAGTTTCCTCAGCAACTTCTTTCGATTTTACAAACTGATTATCACGAAGGCAGCAGGCGCTCTGGAAAAGTAAACACTAAAGCCATGAAGATATAGTAAAGAAGATAAAGAGAAATACTCACAAAAGAAAAAAAGGTCAAAAAATGATCTTCAAGTTGTTCTATGGGTTCTTAGAAAGCGAGTTCTTATGGTGAACTAGTGGTACTTGGGCTGCTAAATATGTAGTGCAAAAATAAATAAACTTAGAAGCGTGGCCTTACACCTTTGCTTCAGAGAAGACGGGAAGCAGCTCTCTGATCAGGTAAGTATTTCCTTTATCATATATGCCCAGGTCTCTCAAAGACATGAATGTTAACTCTGTCAGAAGACTGGTGGTTCTTCTCCTCATGCACAGATATGCGTCCAAGCTCAAACCTGATTCTGATCATCTACTGCTGCCACTGCTGCCATGGTATCCTTCATTTCTCTCTGAAATGGTGGTAGCAGAGAAAACTAATTTTGGAAGCCATTCTTAACTCAAGGATTTGGATTTTACAGAATGTGCAAAGATCTTGCCATTGTGACAATTCCATCAAATGCACATATCAGACATCTTTGTCAGAGCCCAGCAGACTACAATCATTACTTGTGTGGTCCGCATACAAAGAGATTCTGGGTTAAATCATTCTTAAGTCTGCCAACACTAAAAAGAGCTTTAATAAAAAGACAAGTAGGGCCAGAATTTCATTCCTGGTAACTCTAAGGGTTTTTAAAGCTGGCTAGACAATCCAGACCATCTGGTCCTAAAGGTTTGCAGTGCTATATGGCTTGTCGGTTCATCAGGCATGGTCAATGACTGACATTCTTTAGCAATTGGTTTCACTATGCACATGTAATGCAGTTGTTGCAAATACATACTGATGCAATTTTTCTATCATGCAATGACAAATATATATATACATATATAAGCATGTGCATCTATGCATATTGGAGATGCCTGTCCTTTTACTGTTCTAACTTCTTGTGCATCTTTTTTTTCCTTTACAGCCACTACCCAACTGCTGAAGTGGTGAACTTTGGAACCTGGTTTTTGTTTAGTTTCCCTATCTCCCTCATCATGTTGGTCCTGACTTGGTTCTGGATGCATTGGCTGTTCTTGGGTTGCAAGTGAGTGCAGGTTGTTCAAGGTGCATGGATCACGAAAGCAGGGTACCTGTGGCTCCTCTAGAATATGCCTCATAAAGATGTTTCCAGTTGCAAATGACAAAAATTAAGGCACAACTTCCTTCTTCTTGCCAGAACAATTACCAGAGGAAATCTTATTGCTTAGCTGCACTGCATAGACAGAAGTGTACAGTATTGCTGCTTGAGAGTGACGTGCCTAGGTATTGCTGATGGAAATCCTTACTATGCATTTAACTGATTTTTTTGACTCTCATGACCATGGGGATCCTGTTGTGGACCAAAAATCTTGTTAAAAGTCCTTTTGGAAAAGTACAGCTTAAAAGATGAATAGAAAAATAACCGCAAGTGAACCAGTTACTTTTCAGATCCACCCCCAGCTCAATGAAATTAGTGTAAGACCTGTTAAAATTAAAGGTAAATAGACTCCATATATATATTTCTCTTTAAAGTGGAAAGGACTCACAGCCTAAGAGATGAATAGCTTTTGATACCAGTAAGTCCCTTAGCCCCAAAAGAAGAACAAGACTCAGTCTCCTAGTTCATTTGTACCACGTATTTTCTTTGCAGAGGCACTCAGCAAAGTTAATGAAAATTGACTAAATGTGTGCATTTAGAGTGGATTAGTTAATCTGCATTAAATTGTGGTGCAGACACATTTACTTAGAATTAAAGTGGCCTTAATTTGATTTAATTTATTCTTAAAAATAAGCTGAGCTGGCATCACTAATTTATTTCACCTAAGACAATGAATAAATTGATAATGACTTCTGCTTGCTGCTGACCTTGACTAGATTTGAAGAGGTAATTTAGAGGTTAATACCTCCATGTCCTGCTCAGTCAGTCTCCTGAGCCTTGTAGTTCCAAATTAAAAGGCTAAAATAAGACCTTTTTTTTTTTTTTTTTTTCTGAGGAGGAAACAGCACCAGAGAACTGAGACTGTTACTATCAGTCGCCTTTGTAGATCCAAATTAAAAGACAAAAAAAAAGCTTTTTTTTTTTTTTTTTTCTGAGGAGGAAACAGGCTCTAACATGACCTTCAATTACTTTTTTTTTTTTAAATAAATATAATCAAAATTCCACATTGCATCCAAGACCTCATGCTGATTAATGTTGTTCTAAATAATACCAGAGCTGAAGCATTATTGACTTTTTGAGAAGTACTGGTTGATTCCAAGCCTCCTAATCTCTGACTCCTGTTCACTGCAGCTCACTAAAGAACATACCATGTATGGAGCTTGTCTACAATCCTCTGCCTTCACATCCTCCTAAGCCTAGAAACACAACATGTTGAAACACTTGCCCAATGCCTGTGCGTAAATGTTTACTGAATTCCCGTAATGTTCATGTTCTTTTCCTAGGAAGCTCGGTGTCATCAATCTGTTCTTACTTGGCTCAGTTGGAACAACATGATGGACTTGCTTTTTAGGATCTAGAATAGGTCAAAGGGGAAGCATAATGGACCCACCAAACGATTTTTACCAGCAAAGTAGAGCTAAGGGTAGAATTGTTACTATAGAACTGGACATTATAAACCATACAGCTCTTCTCTTTCAGCAGCTGCATTACTGATGGTGGATTTTACAGGAGTCTAACAGCAAGGTTTGCAAGGAAATTTAAATACTTATAGGTGCAGGGCAGTGCCAAGGGCACTAAAAACAAGTGTCACTTTCATGCCCATTTACAAGTGAAATCAAAAGCCTGATTAAGACTTTTTGTTAGCCAGATAGGGCCTGCCTGCATCTTGAGTTATGCAAATTCCTTTGAGAATTTGGCCTTAATCAGATACATGGAGGGAGATTGTAGCCCATGGTCTGGCCAGTGCTATGGCTTGGATCTCACTGGTGCCAAATGAGATATTAAAATAGCAGGAACTACAAAAGCAGGCCATTGTGCTCCCTTGCTACTTCAGTCACTGATGTCCTGGATGCTGCAGCCTATTTTAGACTGGCTTAGCTGCAGAGGTTTCTCAATCGACCCCATATACCTCTGTGTGACAGAGGGTACAGCTGGAGCAGAAAAGCAGAGATCCATGGCTCAAAGCACAGCAAATTAATGTTACTGGAAAGAAGAGAAGGAAAAGGTTAAAATGAGCTTGCAAGTATCTTAATTTCAGCTAGGAATGTCCAGGCTTTGTTGCAGTATGAAGGCAATCTGAATAAACTAAGACTTCACCTAATTTTCATACAAAGGTATACCAGGTTTAAATACATTCAGCTATGAAATGTGCTTGTGCTGGTATGTCCCTGGCAGAAGTACAGGCATTTTTCACTAGGGCAAAACACTAGACTGATTGCCTTGGCCTCTATGGCAGAGGCAATTTGGTGCTACACTGGTTGTGCCTGGTTTAGAAACAGCTAGTATTGGAAGCAGAGAGGTCATGAAAGCTATTGGGATTCTCAGCACAGCTTTCCCCCCTTTCTTACTGTGAATCCTGAATATTCAAGTCAAACCCAGGCTCAAAAGTCATACCAGGCCCCATATGTGTTGGATACCACTGATCCAACTGGAAAGCATAAAGTTCCCCCATTAAAAAATCTGTTGATAGCTGGCCTCTGTCACAGTCTTCCCATGTGATGATAGAAATTAGCCATAGCCTTTGGAGATTTCTGGCACCAGAAAAATCTGTCCACCGCCAGCTGTTTGAACAAGCCTATGCAAAAGGAGCCAAGCCACAGTTCGAGATGTCTTGGTGATACCAGTCAGTATTAGTCAGAGCACTCTGGGGACCCTCCTACTATGTCTAGGATTGATTCTCAGAAGATCTGGAAACCAGGCTACACAAAGTTCACATGCAGTAGTTTCCCTTCCCATTGCTGTCAGGTCTTGCCCCAGTCACATCTTCTCCCAACAGCCCCTGGCAACTTGAATTTTCAGTTTGTCTCATTGCTGTTATTTTTTATTATTTTTTTTTTCACTTGATGTCCTTGTCTAATTTTACTGTGCTATCTACCTCAGTTTTAAAGAGACATGTTCTGTGAGCAAGAAGAAGAAGACCAAACGGGAAGAAATGTCAGAGAGAAGAATTCAAGAAGAATATAAGAAACTGGGAAATGTTAGGTAAAACAGAACTGCCTTCCTCAGGTATTTACCTTTCTAGGCAGGACCATCCTCTCATATTGCCCTCCATGTTGCCTTTGGCTCATGTAGATTATTCTTAAACTGTCTGCTCTTTCTCCTCCTTTCCAGGATAGGAGTAGAACTAAATGCAAAAATGAACTAAAATCAAAGACTTCGTTACAACCATACATTTATTCACTCATTTATTTATTTCTAAAGAAAAGCGAAATAAAAGGAAATATTCAGGTTTATACCAGGGTCCAAAGGTCATCTGAGTCAAGGTTTGTCTCTACCTTTGAACTAAATCATTAAAGAGCCCTGCTACCCAATTCAGGCACATACTTATTTTGGTGGACCGAAGTTCGCTGTTAGCAAAGGCTTTGCAGCAATCTCCCACGTCATGAGACGTCCAGCCCTCACTGTTGCCCATAATCTTTATTCATGGTGGCAAGAAATGTCTCTTGAAAATATTATTTTGCAGGATTTTCTTTTTTCAAAAGGGATGACACCTCATAAAATCCATTCTTCCCAAAACATTTTTGTGTTGTTCAACTGAAATGTTGACAGATCAACTTTCTGAATACGATCAACTCTGAATATAGACTGTTGTTCAGACTGTGTTTAAATATGAAACCATATTTAATTTAAAACTATCCTAAATTAAAACTCAGTGTCCTCAAGTCACCTTATATTTATTCCATGTGTTTAAAATATCTGTGCTAATTTACATTGTCATTTTTCTTATGCTTTCTACACTTTTAAAAAATGCAACAGAAAGTGTTTATAGTGGAATAGTAATATGAGCTTTACCTTGTTAACACATTTAATCAGATAATAATGCAAATACAAAACAAGTATTTATAAACATTCCCCTTCAGGTCTTGCCCATGAATGACTGAATTGCAAATACAGATGGATATTTTTAGCCTATTTTTTACCGGGTTTAGATGGATTTCAGCTGGGAGCCAAATGTGTAATTCTTTAATTCAAACCACTCTTCCTTTCTATTTTCCATATGTTTTTTATCCTTTTTTTTTGGAACCAATTTCTGCCTTTTGACTTCTTCTGGAACTTGCTCTCGGGTTTTCAGGCAGATCTTGGATTTATTTCCTAGCTTCTTTTTATTTTTGCTTTTATTTCTAGCTATCCAGAGATGGTGACTGGATTTTTCTTCATTCTGATGACCTTGCTTTGGTTTACTCGTGAGCCTGGCTTTGTACCAGGATGGTCATCTTTTTTTGAGAAGTAAGTGAAATTCCCTAAACAACTGCACAGGAATATGGCCTTGCTTCTGACTTTCTGCAATTATTTTCGGCCTTAAAACATCATCAGCCACTTTTAACAAGGTGGCCAAAAATGAAGTCTTTATTAAAAAAATAATATTTTTACTTTTCAAACTGCATCTGTTCACATGGTGGCAAATTGTATTCTTTCTCATTAAGCAGAATGAATTAAGTAGAGAAAGTAAAATACACATATTTCAAAGGTAAAAAAATAGGATGGCCAGATTCTGAAGTTAAAACATTTTAGTGCATTCATAGAGAAGCTGTCACTGGAACGCATTGCAACTATAATTGAAATAATTCTTTTTTTAAATTTTCATTTGAAATAATTTTTGACAAAAAGTGTGTTTTTCTGAAGATAAATTTTACCAATAAAATGTCCGTTTCAATTAAATATTAAACAGAAAGGTGACTGAAGAAAATAATTTTTCTTTGATTTTAAATAATGTGGAAACAAATTATATTAAAAGGAACTATAGCACACATTGCACATCAAAGAATAAATGATTTGAACTTAAATTTTCTTTACATTTCTACTGCATTAAATTATTTCAGTTTTTCATCCTAATTTTGACAGAAAAACAATTTCTTTTTATCAGGATTTCTTGAGGACCCCTCAAGTTTGGCACTCCTCAAAATACTTTTTCAGAATGAGTTTTAAACATTTAATTTAAAATCAATCTACAGTTCATTTCTAAAGGATCAGTCGGGTTTGGCTTTTCCCCAGAATATGTTTACCATTTCTTGCTTCTAGTAAACACTGTTTTTCTGTACCTCCAAGTTAATAGATTTGTAAACCAAAAGGGATTTATTTTTTTCACTGGAGTGGTAAAAATTGTTGAGCATTGATTGGAGTTGGCTACAGGAGTCAGTTTAATAAATGGGAAAAAAATCCAATTTGTATTGTTGATATGCAGACATACTTCTCTAGTGGCTTGTTAGTAAGACTTCAGATGTGGAAATACAACTTCACCTGCAACAATTTGCTTGGAGACATGTATTTTGTTAGGAAATCTTTCTGTTACTGTGTTTTTATGGTAACCCCACTGTTTCTTCCCCAGGAAAGGTTACCGGACCGATGCCACTGTCTCTGTATTTCTTGGTTTTCTGCTTTTCCTGATTCCAGCAAAAAAGCCAAGTTTTGGAAACAGGGAAGAAGGTGAGGAGGATAAAGCAAGAAAGAAATCTGGAACATTTTCCAATGCCTTTAATGACATTTTTCTGTTCTCTGTAAAAGGAGGATAAAGCAAGAAAGAAATCTGGAATATTTTCCAATGCCTTTAATGACATTCTTCTGTTCTCTGTAAGATGTTCCAAGAAGAGATTTTTATTGTGGAAGGCCAGGGCTCAGTTTCTTCTCTGATATCAGCTCTTCCTACATCAAACCCCCTTTATTGTTGCTTTAATTCATATTGTCTCATCCAGCAGATGACAAATAGATCTTGCATCTGAGGCCACCATCTCTTCTGTGTTAACGAGTTATCAAAATTTAGGACTGAGTTTTAGGAAAGGTTCAGACAGAGTGTCATATAGAGAAGTATAATGCAGATGTTTGCAAAATCATCTGAAGATAAGCTCTAGTAAATAATTTGATCATCATTTATAGAGCAGAAACCATTGATAATGTCATAAAATAAACATAAAAGAGGTCAGTAAATGTCAGACAGAGTTCCAATTTTGCTCAACGCTTCTCTCACAGTCTTCTTGATTATAATAATGATTGATATTTCACATTCAGGTTTGGGTAGCGCTCAGTGGTATTGATCATGTATGATCAGTCCTGTATGAAAATAGAATTGCCCACATAGAGTCTTACGTAGAGATTACAAATGTATACAGAATTATTTTTTTAATATATACTGACATATATTATGCAGTATTTAGGAAAAATGGCATTCTCTAACTGCTACTTCAAGAAAATACTCAGGACACTAAAAAAATAGTGTCCTCAGATAAAACCTAGGGTCATAAATGCACTTTATCAAGCTTCATGGCCTACTGGAGAGAGAAAATGCCCTTCTTTGAGAAAATAGTCCCATTGTAACTCCATTTTTGTAGTGTACAGATAATTTGCACATGTGTATACACAATAAAACACACAGTCCCTCAAAAAGCTCTAGAATGAAACACAGGGGTATATAACTATTCACATTGACAGGGCAGCCAAGGGGAAGTCAGGACATTTGCAATTAATATGCTGCATTTTCTGAGGCCATGCTAACCAGAGTGATAGGCTACGCAGTTCTTCCCCTCTCTCACAGGTAGTTCTCAAGTTAACCCCTACAGATATTACATTATTCCTATTAGTGTGAAAAATGTGAAGATCTTTGCAAAAAGGCCAATGTAATACTGGTCAGACATTTGCTTTATTTTGATATAGGAGATGGTGAAAAGCCAACAGACATCAACACACTGGATCCCATCATTACCTGGAAGGACTTCCAGAAGACCATGCCCTGGGAGATTGTAGTGTTGGTTGGAGGAGGTTACGCCTTAGCAGCTGGATGCAAGGTACTGATTTAGATTTTTTTTCCTCCTTCCTAAAAAAATTATAAACCTGGAATTTTATCTCTTTGTATGCTCCCCAGTTTGGATTTACAATATGGATACTTTCAAGTTTGTGCATAACCTAGTTCCTACTCCCTGCACTCGATGGACAGCTATCTAGCTAACAAAAAGATGGTTAGGGCTCAAGTCAACTGTGTAAGCACCTGCCATTTCAGATGCTTTAGAATATCTATCTATTCCTGCAAGGCTGGCAGACATGACACAGGATCTAGGGTAGGACCCACACTTTCTCAATTAGCAGCTAACCAGAGAGAGGGGGAACATCTCAGCTGCCACAGGATCCTCCTCTTTCAGCAACTGAGTCAAGCTCCTAGCGCTGACTGGACAAATCATACTCTAGGTTCTACTGACGATATCTGCACTCAATATAATTCATGAATACTCGTCTAGCTCTCCTATAGACTCGCACATTGTGTATTTTAATCTCAAAATGAATTCTCCCCAGACTGTGCAATCCTTCATCACCAATTTGCAACACTTCAGTTCACATGCTGAGGAAAGAGGGAAGATCAGCCCTGGTCCCTTAAATGTTATTAACTTCCAAATGTATCTCTTTGTTACTACAGGCAACTATTTATTAGGCACTGCAGTGAAATCCAGTTTACTGAACAGAAGGAAATGCAGAAAGCATTGACCTAAATTTTGTTTATTTGCTGGTGGGATTCTTTGATGCAAACTGCCCCAAAGAGAAGAATCTGTTTTACAAGCATACTAAGTATTTAGTAATTCTTGTGCTTCTGTCCTTTCCCCAGACCTCTGGCCTCTCCACATGGATTGGACGCCAAATGCTCTCCCTGAGCAGCCTTCCCTACTGGGCTGTAACTCTGCTCGCCTGCATTTTGGTGTCCCTGGTAACAGAGTTTGTTAGTAATCCAGCAACCATAACCATCTTTCTGCCTATTTTATGCAGCATGGTGAGTAAAAACAATGCTGTTTTCAGTCTGTCATTTCCTGATAGTCTCATGGGAAAGTTTCAGGACGTCCGAGTATTGGCACTCTGTTCGTATGAAACCCAGCCTTGGTTCTCAAGCTACTGTTCTGCAGTCTTGGGCTCAGGAAAACTAATAAATCCAGGCAACCAAAAGCATATTTTAGCACCAAGGAATTTATTCAATACCTCTTAGACAAAGTGAAAACATAGCTCCTGCTCTGAGGGATTCACAGTCTAAGTACAAGCAAAGGTGATGATGAAATCAGTAAGATAGGTGAAGTCCACATAAAGCTTGAGATACTCTTATCAATGTTATTTTAAATGTGGTGTTCATTAGTTAGTAGTCACCTACTCACTACTTGTAAGAAAAGACTGTAGTACAGGATTTTATATCGGTTTTAAATGTGTTCAAGGGGGTGATTTGGTAAGAGTACTATCATTCAACATGGAAAGCAGAGATGTTTGTAAGGGACAGAAAAAAATGAGGAAACTGACAACGAAGGCAGAGGAAAGAAATACAGAATTCATTCTATATTGGAAGAGCAGTTACAGAAAACTGTCTTATCTCTTTTCTTTTATATAATGTGAAGTCTTTCTTATCAAGAATGCAGTTCATTAATCGTGTTTCCCTATCCTAACTATTCTATGAGATTGTCCCAAAGTACATTATGTGAACAGCTCTGACGTGGTATGAAGATATGGTCAGATGAAAAGAAGTAATTATGTTTGTATGGCTTATGAGTTCAGATTTACTTCTGCTCCATGCAGAAAGAGACTCTCCTAAAGAGAAATTTAGAGTAGTAATCTACTTTGAGTATTCTGAACTGACATCTTAAGGCAATCTCTCTTTTTTGACTGTAAAAATAACCTGGAAAGACTTCCCTCTCCAAAATGAAGTCAGCCTTGTGAATACCCTTCCCTTTCCCCCTGACACAAAACTAGGCTGTAGCAATGCAAACAAAAATGCAAAATTTCACCACCACTGAAGGCTGCAGTGGAAGAGCAATTCTTTAGACCACTGTAAAAAATATTCCATCATCACTGCCTTCTTGCCATGCAAGTTTGGACCATGAACAACCAGTTTTCTTAACCACAGTTCAGGATGACTTTACATAGTGGTCTCAGTATTTTCAACAACTGATAGAGAAGTAAGTTCTTCATGTCAACCTGTTGTGACTTCTCTTGGATGAAGAGTGAAGTGGCAGTCAGTGTTAAGATCCAGAAGACACAACACAGAATGACACAGAGAACAAGGGGAAGAAGAGCAAAGCCAGCCTAATAGTAGCAATCTCCATCCTCCCCCAGTGTGAAACGTCTCAAAGGAAATCCCTGGGGCATGACCAGCTCCAAATTATAGCACTACTCTACTCAAAAAAAACAAAACACCAAACCAAACCAAAAAGCCTTCCACACTTAAGTTTAGAAATTAAGGAGACAAGATTCCCAGAGTCATATCTTCACATAAAGCAGAGAGGGTCCTTTCATCCTAATTGTGAGTAGTGGCTTTTATTGGTTAAGTGAAACACCTCTCTCCTTCCAGTCAGAAACCCTGCTTATCAACCCTTTATACACCCTGATTCCTGTTACCATGTGTATCTCATTTGCGGTGATGCTGCCAGTGGGTAATCCTCCAAATGCCATTGTCTTCAGTTATGGGCACTGCCAGATTAAAGATATGGTGAGTCTTGAGATCGGGTATATCCTCCCATGCTTCATGCAACCTGAACACCTTGTCCCCACATCTAGCAGCCAATAATAATAATGATGATATTGGTGCTAATATAAAGTCATATTGATCTGCACTGATATTGTTATGTGACCAAGCTGCAGGTTAAGAACATCCATGTATCGGCTAGGATACACACATTTCTCATCTTTATTTTTTTATGAATGTAATGATACCTCTAAAGAGGTATCAAAGAACAGGAGTACACAAACCTTTGCATTGACCTGTTCAGACAAGCACAGGACAGCATGAGAAATTGGATTTATCACACAGCTCCACAGTAAGTCATGTAGTTATCACCTTGCTATGTGTGGTATAAGTCCCCATTCTGATTATCTGATCAAGAAGTTCAAGAGACAAACTGAACAGTTTCCGAATGATTTGAACCAACCTCTGACTATCACTCTGGAATACTCCCACAATGTACACTCTGATACTTAATACTCACTGTGCTTTTTTGGCTCTAGAAATCAGTATATATAATTTATCACACTATATCTAAGTCAGTATACATACCTACATACACCCTACTACCTTCTTTTTTCCATGTTAACTATTTTTGATCAAGTTGTCATTGATTGTGCTCTGATGCATTTTGCTTTTGTAGGTGAAAGCTGGCCTGGGTGTAAATCTGATTGGCCTGGCTGTTGTTACGGTGGCAATCAACACTTGGGGAATTAGACTCTTCCAGCTGAATACTTTCCCAGAATGGGCAGCAGTCAGCAACATCACTAGCCAAACATAATCTCCACTGAAAAAAAAAAAAAAAAAAAAAAAAAAAAGAAAAAAGTGAAAGACCAAAGCGAGTTGGGACAAAGTATTAAACCTACATTGCACATATGAAAGAAAGGAGAAAACATGTGCATACATAGAACCAGGATCCATAGCAAAACCATGAAGTAAGTCCACAGGGAGGTCTGCCTAAGCTTTTCAGTTCTGAAAATCAGCATGAGTTAAAAGGAGAGATTAGCTTTGCTCTACTGTTGCTTTCCCCATCATACTGCAACTGTGAAAAACCCCTCTCCTCAAAATTCTCTGCCTATGGCTTTTTCACGCCCTAGAATAATTATGCAGGACTTGTAAAACAGGGGATATAGGACTCCAATGACAGAAGGCAAGTATACATACACTGGTGTACTCACTTGTAGGATACTCAGTCCTATCACTGACTCCCACAGTAAGTGAAGGGTGAGTCTTATTCCCAAACCCAGAGTTTTACAAGCCTACTTCTTTTAAAGGCAAATTATTACTCTTCTTTTGAGGTGACTCATCACTGTGTGGGAAAAAAACACTTCCCCACCTAATCCATATGGCCTGGACAGAAATACAGCTACCAATTACCAGCTACAGCACTTCAAAGGGGTAATAGAAACCACCAAACAGATAGGAACGAGAAGTCTCCTCGGAAGGAGAATTTTTTTTCCACAGCACTAGTATAAAGTTTCCAATAATGCAGTACTTGCAATCTCTGCTTTGCAAGGAAGAGTGTCAGAAACAGACAGAAAGTTCTGTTCAATACCTTCTTTCTTTACCATTGTACTGCAGCAGAACCTTTTTCAGTAGGGGAAGCTGTAACCAGCAAAACCTTACCAGGCCAACAGACCCATTGCTCTCCTCTCTCTTTGGCTGCTGTTTAGTTACACAGTTAACGATTTCTGTGACAGAGAAAGTACAATCTCATCCAAGATGGCACTCAGTGCTGCTCCATGAGCAAGAAGGGAGAGGGCTGAAGTGGAGTGGTGCTGCTGTATCTCATCATTGTGTGCATTCCCTTGAACATCACACCCACCTGCTCTCTAGCAGCCCAGAGAACAGGAACTTCAAATGTAGGAAACTGTGACACAGAGCAGATAACTACCAAACCAAAAGGCCAATCTGTTTATTATCTGCAAAGTGAATGCCCTGCTTTTCTGACTGGATCCCTATGATACTCAGTAAACCTTCACTTGTATTATGCCCTGTTTTTAATCATTTCTTTCATGTCAATGCATTTAAGCTGTATATTGGGATGATTGGATCTCATGTAATCACACTCTTTATATATATACTTCAATGAATTTTTATGCTTTCCAATAATCTAGGTTTCTAGATGTTAGTGTGAATGTCTATTCTGCAAAAATTAAATGTCAATAAAATAAATTATTCACTACTGCAAATTCTAGTGCTCTGTGAGTATATAAATAGGATATATTTCACCTCATAACCCACCAAGCTATTAGGGAACTAGTATTGAGACAGTAAGAGGTGTTGGTTTACTGCTGTTTACTGCTGTCAAAACAGATGGATCCCACAGACTTGTCTTGGAAATAAACAGGTACAGTAAGAGGTCATAGGTTGATGGGGCGGGACGAAAATGGGAAAATCAGAAAAGCATGTCTTAGCCCTTAACCAAAAGCAGGAGGCAGCATCCTTTAGCATATCCTTTAGCATATTTCTATTCAGAGTAGTTCCTGTAAATTAAGCTTTGAAAAACAAGGTGTTTCTGTGAATCAATGGCTCACTGCATCTCCATGCCCTCCTAATCCATGAAACAAGACCTCAGCCTCACTTTTTCAACTCTTCTCCCCGTTCCTGTGTTCCCTCTATCCTAAGCCCACTCCTCTGCTGCACCCCAACATGCAAAACTCAGGCCTGCCTCTGGGATCCAGATCCTCCACACCACTTCGGCTCCCCTCCCTGGGTGTCTTCCTGCTCCCCAGCAAGCCCCTGCTGCTGGGCACAGACCCCGACATGGTGCTCAAAGCAGAGGTACCCTGGCCTCCCTCCCAGCCCAAGCTGCAGTCCCCCAGTAAGCTGCACCCAGTACCGAAGCCGCTGAAGCAGGAGAGAGAGGTTGCAGCGCCTGTCCACCAACATGGGCAACTTTCTCCAGGAACAAGCACTTCAGTGGGTGGGGTTGTCTGTAGTACCAAGGGTCCTGTCCCTACGCACAACAAGCAGGACAGCTCTTTGTTCACCGCCCCTAAAGTTACCTTCAATCATTCTCCCCCTGCCAAGAAACTCTCTTTCTGGTTTGTTCTCTTCCCAAGGCTTTAGCCGCTCTGCACCTTTTGCTGTGCACTTCCCATCCCATCTTCCAATCCTTTTTACTTCATGTGTCATCCACCACCATCTTCAAATTGCCTAGCTGCTCGGCAACAAATCACTCTCCACCCTGCTAATACTTATTTCTGGCTCAGCCCAGCTTCCATCAGGCCTTGCTATCCTATACCTTTCCCAGGGGATACAAACATGGGATATTCTCATTTGCAAGAGAGATGAGCAGCTGGCATGCCTATCAACTTTAGGGAGATCTAGGATTACTCACAAATCAAACGGGGTGGCCACCAACACTCTTTGGTAATAACACCAATATCTCTAGGTAAATGGAAATTGCTTGGTGCTGTGTTGCACATTTTGAGCAATATTTCTTCAGAAACATTTCCATGAGTCTCTTGCATAGTTTGTGCCTCACAAGACTGGTGCTGAGAAACTTGGAGTGGACTCAGGCAAGGAGTTTCCCCAGCAGTTTTCCCTCCCGTTTCAGTGCTCTCAGCACACTTGTAGGTCCAAAGTTGCTGGTACTTGTCACTGCCACGTTACACCAGGCATCTGCAGGAAGGCAGTGTGCTGTACTGGCCCCTTTTCCGTATCAGATCAGTCAGTACATGCACCACAGTCAGATTCTGCCCTTACGTGTACATATGTAATTCCCTTCACTTCACTGAAGACATAAGAAAGTACACAAGAAAGTATTCAGTGGCAGAATCTGAGTATAACAAGGGAAAATAGCAGCAGATGAACAACAAGCTTAGGGTTGGGCAAGCTGCATTGCTCATAGTGTGACAGCAATGGGTGCCGATTGCTCCTTTTTTTTTTAAATTAAAATAAATGGCAAATGGACAAAGAAGTGGGAAATTTTCACTGGTAATTCATAGCATACTGTCACTCAGCTTCACATTTGTCTTTATCAATAACCAAAGCTGAAGTATTTTCTTCAGAGGGGAGACAAGCTTGATTTCAAATTAAGTGATTTCCAGATGCTTTCAACGTTCAGCACAAACATCAAGTCCTAAAAATAAAAGTTCTGTTTTCAGCCGAGAATATAAGATTCCCATCCAAAAAGTACAATCACATTAACTAGTAGCAGTATACTATTTTATCTTACAGTTTTATATTACCTTTTACTAGAATCCTATTAAGGCTATGTATATATTTTTTTCACACTGATATAAAACCCGAACAATTTAACTGAAGTAAACTGAGGTGATTTCTACTGAGCAATTCTTCATTCTGTAGCTGATAAGAGTAATGTTTTATTTCTCAGGAAAAAAAGGAGAGCATGGTATCTGTATTTAATACTTGTACACAGGCTGTTCAGATCTCTCTGGTTTGCAGAAAATGTGAATAATAGAATTTAAAACAGGCTCTTATATTTTTTTCATACCTTGATTAGTATCTCACTACTTGGGCTGCATCTTTGAACCCAAAGGTGCAGTGGTTAGAGAAGGGCTCTTCCTAACGAATGTGATGAAAGGTTGCAGAATCCCTGTTTTCACACAGAAGAGTAACAGTATGTTCCACTCCAGCATTTGGGCTCACAGGGTAGGAAAGTTACTAGTGTAATTATGGTTTGAGTTGCTGATTTACAGGAATTGGGTATTTAGGTATTTTCCAGATGTATCAAAGACTAAAGCCAGAACTGACTTTGGCGGGAACATCACTCTGGAAGCAATTTATGAAATTTGTTTTATTTTTCAAGAACGTAAATTTGATGGTCTGTGATTAATGTGTTTCATATGAAAAAGCAAATAACCATCACAGCTATTTTATCTCAGTACAAATTCAATAAAAATGACCTTGGCTTGGGACTTTGTAAAGTAAATGTTAGCATATACCACCAAGAAGTGTAATAAATAGAACTAAGTATCTCTTTCTTGTCCCTCTGAGACAAAAATAGAAAGAGCTGTACAGGAAATTTCTCTATGGAGTTTACCAGTAACATACGCACTCCGATATCCACCATCATCTCCTAATAGTCAAAATAATTCTGCATCACATACAGCAGATACTAATTTGTACATATGAATACCAATCCACAATCATGTTTCTGCAAACACAGATAAAATCTAGGCTTATGAAATCAACTCCTTATTAATTCTGAAAATTCCACTTTCTCCCTTTGCAACACTTCAATTTCACCAGTAATCTAAGGGCCATCTGTAATTTGGGCCAACAGTAGTGTGGGCCCTTCAAAGCACATTTCCAGACGCTCGGCATGTATAGCATCTCTCCAAGCAAGCACGCATAGAGGACTCTTAACAGCTGTTGGTGCACACAGCTATCAACATCACAGGACAAGAGAGAACCACAAACGAAAACCACAGTGGAAAAATCCTGCCTTCACAAAGGCAATAAAATTTTTGAGTGATACCACAACTCCCTGCAGCATCACCACCGAGAAATGTCCTGTGCTGCCAGACCAGCACTATGCTACTTTGCTCATCAGAAATCACTGTGAAGAATGATACTCCACATTAGCAGGAGTCATGTATCTTTACCTGATTATAACCTTACCATAATAAAAGTTTCTGATGTAGATGTTGCTACCTAATGTAAAAACACAAAGACAAAGAGCTGGCTTCGTTAAACGTTTCCCTGTCCTTGAGTAATTCCTCTGAAGTACAAACCATTTTTACAGAAGGTGGCTGGAGTACCAGTGATTTCACTGAGACAAATGGGGTTAAGGAAAGCCAATGCCAGGGCCCTGAGTGCCTTAATGGCCCTGGCCAGCCTCACCTGACACTCCCACCCATACCTTCTTCCCTAGGGCCCTTGAGCCCCACTTAAGCACAGATCTGGAGCTCCAGGCTCCTCTCCACCTTTGGCCTTGTACCTTTAATGGATGCTACGCCCATGCTGCAGCCTCATCTCCAGTCAACTCTCTGGCTCCATCTCCTTTTGCTCAACAGACATCTGGGATGGATCTTAGGCCTGGTTCACCCCCTTGCTGTGCCTGGGGCTGACCATGGACCCCACTACCAGCTGCCTGCTGTGTGAAGACCTGTGGGGCAGTGCCCCACTGGTGAGGACACTGATTGCACTGGGATCACCCTTGGCTCTTGATTTTGTAACAAGAGTCTCTATAGGCACATCAGCTGCAAAAGGAAATCTAAAGAAATGCTGAGGGAGCTGGCCAATGTCACTGTGAGGCCACTCTCTATTGTCTTTGAAAGGTTATGGTGATCCAGGGAGGTCCCTGAAGACTTGAAGGAAGCAAATATCACTCCTATCTTCAAAGAGGAAGATTTAGGGAACTACAGGCTGGTCAATCACTCTTCAGTCCTTGGGAACGTGATGAAGCAAATCCTCCTGGAAGCTGTTTCCAAACACACGAAGGACAAGAAAGTGATTGGGAGTAATCAGTATGAATTTATGAGGGGAAAATGATGCCTGCCCAGCCTGGCACTGTGCAAGAAAATGACTAGCTTGGCAGATGAGGGGAGAGCAACTGATGTTGTTTGGCAAGGCTTTTGACATGGCCTTCCCCAACAGCCTCACAGACAAGTTGAAGAACCATGAACTAGATAACTGAATAGTATGGTGGATCGAAAACTGGCCAAAGCACTGGGCTTAAAGGGTTGTGGTCAGCACCACAAAGTCAAGCTGCAGCCATTCACAAGTGGTGTACTCCAGGGGAAAATACCAGGGCCAATATTGAATTAATGAACACTGGCATATTTATTAATGGCCTGGACAAAAGAACAGAGTGCACCCTTGGCAAGTTTGTAGACAGTACAAAATTGGGAGGAGTGGTTGATGCACAAGATGGCTATGCTGTCATTCAGAAGTACCTTCACAGGCCAGAGAAATGGACTGACATGAATTTCAAGTTCAGCAAAGGGAAATGCGAAGTCCTGTATTTGGGGAGGAATAATCCCATGCACCAGTACAAGATGAAGCCAACTAGCTGGAAAGCAGCTTTGCAGAAAAGGAGCTGAGGGTCCTGGTAAACAAGTTGAACATAAGTCAGTAATGTGCCCTTGAGGCAAAGAAGGCCAACAGCACCCTGAGCTGCATTAGGCAGAGCATCCTCCACAGGTTGAGGAAGGAGGTGATCCTTCCCCTCTTCTTAGCCCTGGTGAAGCACATCTGGACTGCAAGTCCTGCCCAAGGGCCACAAAGATCAAGGGATGGAGCACACATCATGAGACAAGGGGCTGTGGTTCTGCGACATACAATAGCACCACTGAGCATTCATGTTAGTGAAGATCTGTGAATTAAATCCACTATCTTTATGTCAGCTCTGGTTCCCAGTAAGCTAATAATTAGCTCTGCTATTTGGCATTTCGTATATTTTCAGTATTAACCCTTTACCATATTCAATGGAAGATGTTCTACAAGAGCCTTAGGGCAGCATTTTCCATCACAAGACAACAGTCTCAATCCACAGTAAATATTTTAGAAGTCTGTTAGTAGCTTATATATTCCTTTCCTCCCCTTTTGCCGCAAACCTTCAGCTCCTAGGACATGTCTCAAAAGAATCAATACATGAAAATGAATACAATTGCTTTTAGCAAAGGAAGGAAGACTGTATATTTTAGTTGGCAATTCCAGCTATCCACATAGGCATTTTGAACGTGCAGAAATTCACAGTACTCTTGTTAAGTGGGAAACATGCTCCTAGGTATCTTGAAGGTGCATTCATCCTTTGCGACCTGCTATGACACCACTGCATCCAAAGCCCTCTCAGCACTCAGATGCAAGATCTGCATCAAGCAGTCATTATCTGTGCGTACTCTCTGCCCTCTGAAATATAATGTTAACCTTTAGTATCATCTAGGATATCCTCAGGCTGAATCAGTTAAGTACAATGTGTTATACAGTAGCTGCAAAATCAACAAGAACTGTGTTATAATGTTATCCAGCTCTCCAGCTTACTATGTGTGACAAAAAAAGAAAGCTTCAGCTAAAATGGAAAGTGTTGCAAACAGTGTTAAACACTTAAGTCCTGTCTTTAATATTAATGAGCATATATTGTTTCTACAGCACTACAGCTGTAGCTGGTTCACTTCATAATCCGATAGGAAAAAAAATCCAAACATCTGCTTGGCATGCTCAGCTGAAAGTTTCAGCTCCAAATTACACTTTTATAGTAACACAGGCTGTTTGGCAACAAATACAGAGATTTTGAGTATTATTTCCCTTCTCATCTCCATGTAAAGAAAGGGAAGAACATAAAGCATGTTTGAGGAAAGAAATAATTTAATTCTAAACACTAACATAATTTTATATGACAAGCAAAGAAATATGAATGGGTTAGAGCCAGTACTTTTCAATACTCTGCTCAAGAATAGGAAAAAAAGAGCCGAGTGGGGGGAAGGAAGCTGGGGGAAACTAAATTCATCACATTCATCAAAGCATTAAAACAGCTGTGCAGCGCTGTCTCACTCTATGGAAAAGTTTTCACCTGTAGAAGACAGCTCCTTCAGTCCGGTCTGAAGTCTGTGAGAGCTAATGGAAATCCCTCTCAAAGACCAGAGCACACACTACTACTTCAGTAATAGTTAAACAAAGCTGTACTTTATTTGCAAACTCCCTTCACCAAGCACATTCTTGGTATCTTCAACACATACTGCTACTGCAAGGTTTCTGATCGCTAATATTAGGTGGTAAAAATAATTTCTCCTGGTTTTGAGTTTTTACCATAGGGAGAGCTGGTAGCATAGCTACTAAGATTGCCTGACTTGAGGCTTTTAAACTTGTCAAATACTCATTAGGAAAGACTCAAAGTTTTTACGTCAACTACAGATCTCAGGGCAGATGGCAAAAGGAAGGATGGGAAATTACAGGTGAAATATTTCTCATATGTGTATATTTTTTAAGGAGAATCTTTAGACGAGAAATACTTTCCTCAATTGCAGGACTGCATTGTGGAAGAACTCTGCCATCACCAAACTTTGGAAAAGGAAGTGAAAGTTTGGCATAAGGTAATCTGTAAATGTGTCTTTGCTGATTGAGTGAAAACTCCTGAGCTTGGAATCCACCCAGATGTATCCAAATTGAAGGCTTTGGGCTAGAGGGTGAAAATTACAACCGGTACATTGGGAGTCTTGTACTTAAGTGCTTCCATGTTATGTTTATCTCAAACAGTGCAGTTCACCAGGTCTACAGAGCAAAAAAGTGTCCAAAGCCTGGGATATTTTCCCTCTGAATGTCTCTAGGCCTGTCTAATGGACTAAACACCCATTGGAGATCAAAGCACATCTCCTGGTTTAGTCTCTTCTGAAAGCAATCCAGTCCACGTGCTCTACAGTCTTCCTATGATGAGAATAAAAACATGGTAAAAGGACTAATTACTTCAAAGGCACAAATCTTATCCTAACTAAAACACTAATAGAGAAGCACTCTAGGTATGCTTTAATCAAGAGCCTTAAGATGTAGCGGAGGTCATTCTCTGTGCCTGTTTCTCCTACTTCTCTGTAGCAGTCCATCACCAGGCATTGTAATAAAAGCAAGGAGAGTATCTTCCTGGTACTTTTCTTTGTCCTTCATGTCCTGCAAAACACTGTCAAGGGCACTCAGTGATTTAAGCCACCTCACAGAGCTGATAGGACTCTTCTATTTTACAGAAAAAAAAATGAAATGGATTTTATTTAAGATTGTTGAATTAATAAAACTTGTATCTATCCAAATTACTGCAAAATTTTCTTCAGAATTTACAACAGAATTTGTGCAAAACTGTGGTTTCCAAATGCAGACTTTGCTTTCCATTCAAATGGAAGAGGACAGTGCTAAAATACAATGTATATTTCTCACACACCAGGACTTTTAGTGGCAGCAATGTATGAAGAGGAGCATACCAGACAAACAATAAAGGGGACAGCAGATAAATGGTTCTAATCCTAAGAAAATACATGGTAGACAACTGAAACAAATGCAAAGGCAATGAGCTGAAGACCATGCACAGGAATGAGGAAGTAATGGGAATACGAGACATATTTGACAGAAATACTGAGCTCTAGTCCTTGTTCCACACCAAGAGGCAGTAAAAACATACAACAATTACACAAACTGGACCATTAAGTACATAAAGTGAATGGTTTGGATTCACAATGTAACTGCTGACCTCCACATGCCCTCATTACCACTTACGGAAGGTAACTCTTCTCTCTCCCATCCTCCCCATCACTTCAAAGACATCCTCAAGCAACCAAGCAGAAGGGAAAGAAGAGGAAGAGACAACGACAAAAGAAACAATGAATTTGAAACGTAGGTTAAAGTTGATGGCCTTTTACACTTTTTGAAATCAGCCATGTTTGTGCGAAGTCTACACTGCTGGAAGTGATCATTTAACATAATGGAAAAAACAGAAGCTCCCCTCTTCCCCCCAGGTTCATAATTTGACAAATGAACTTTCCCCATCTCCAATAACGGAATGTGTATCTTAAGGACAGTGAAGTACTGAGGCTAACAACAAATGACAAGAAACGCTGAAAGTTACTTCTTGATGCATTTAATTTCTTTTGCAATGTTCTAAGAACTAGGGTATTACAAAGTGTAAGGTACGCATAGTAACAGGACTAACAGGACTCCAGTTGGATCAGGTAAAAATGGGTTACAAAATATTAGGAAAAGCACTAACGAAAAATACAAATGATCTTATCCAGTCACATATCAGCTGCCAATCCAAATTCTGAAACCCTTCAAAATCAGGCCCAGGAAAAGTTCACGGCTGCTCTTTCAAAAGAGGTACATTCCGTTCTAGGAGACTAAAAGTGAAGGAACCTCCCATGCCAACCCTCTACTTGATCTTTGTTGCCTGAAGGGTAAATTGCATCCTTGATGCACGGACAGAGGTGATCTGGGTAACACTGCTCTCTTAGGACTTGTCACTGGGAGGTTTCTTCTTAGCTTCCACATCCTTCTTAAAATCTTCAAGCTTCTTTGCAATGTTAGGTATCTTTAAAGACAAAATAAAAAAAAAAAAAACAAAATCCACACAAATTAACAAAAAATCCTGAGCTACAGGAGCCTCAGCAGTAAAGACAATACCATAAACACAACAAGAAATTCAATGAAGTTTAAACTGGTTTCTAAAAGCAGCTTGCTTCCAGGACGTGTTACCTTGCACAGAGGTTAAAAACAAAGCAACATCAAGCAAATAGGAGATGAAAAGCTTCAGGAAATATGAGGCTTCAGGAAGTATTTTAGATCGACTAAAAGTTTTTTAGAAGTATTTTAGAAGACTAGAAGTCAGCCAGTGGTGTTGGGAATAGGAGGGAGGAAAAAAGATTACTTTACAGGAAATTTAGAAAGACCAGTCTAGCTTCCTCACTGAAACAGGACAAAATGCCAAGAATAAGCAGATTTAAACACTGATGTACAGATTTTAATAATGATTTTCAGAGGGGAAATTAGATTGCACTATACTGGTCACAAACCAACAGAAGAGAGATGTTCAAGAGCAGTAAATATGTTCCCAAGAAATTTATGAAGAAATACTTCTCCTGGTCTATCTTGTGGGAACCAAAATTCCTCACTGGAGAATTCTACTTGCATTGCAAATTGGCAACCTTTCGCACTTTCACACTTGAATGAAAATTCAATTTACCGCTTGTGAACTTCAAAAATTCAGCTTTCTCTTGCAAATAGAACTGTTTGATAAAATAATCCAACAGTAAATTTTGACAACTTAAAAAAACCAGCAACTTTTAAGGGCAAGAAATCCATTATCTCATGACTCTAGCTAAAACTGAGAATTGACAACATAGGATTTTACAAGCTAACTGATTAAAATGAAAGTAAAGCAAAGTTCCCACTGGTAGCTGTGAAAGAAATCATGGGCTTTTACTTTGTATGTAACCTGACCACGGAGCAGAAGTTAATCCAAACTGCAGTTCTCTCATCAGATGGTTTGAGGCTGATAGTACAGGTAATATCATAAGTTTCTCTCTTACCTTCCCTTTCAAAGTTAAACTCTGGTTGAGCAAACGAAATTAAGAGCCCAGCCTATAACATGCCTGACAATTAAGCTAAACCAAGAGAACTCTGCTGCTGTCAGCAGAACTCTCCACATGCTTATAACAAGCACATGTGCATACAGCTGCAGAATTAGGACCTCATTATGACAAGCTTATCTTAGATGTCATATAAAACAAATCATCTTCTATACCAGCAATAAAATTACCATGTTCATCCTGCAAGTCAGTGTTACATTCCCAGAGAACCATTTCCTGTAAATCAAAAGCCTAAGTCCCCCTCTTGTGGCAACACTTTATTAGTGCTGCCAGAAAAGCACTATACCATGCTTATGATACATATTGATACATCGAAATATGTTCTTATAACTACATTTTCATAACACTATAAAACATATATCGGAAAGAAACATCAGCCTTTTAGTAGTGCTCTCACTGGAGTGACTGGACAGGAAGGATCACAAAAGTTTGTGGATGAGCAAGGATCAAAAACTAAGAACTCTGCAAGTAAGATGACTTCAACATTGAAGATGAAGCAAAACACAAATGTCATCTGAGATTTGAGCCTCAACAGCTTTGTTTTTTTAAACTAGACTAATATAGATTGCATAAGAAAGGAAAAAAAATTATGTTAAGTTTCATTAAGAACTCTAGCCTGTAAAGAGCTAAGTGTCACTGCTCTTACAAGGGATTCTGCTGACTTTGCAGAAATTGAAAGCTTGCATTGAAGACAGCTTTAATCTTCTTCTTCTGCTCTAACTCAGTGAAAAATCTCCATTCACCATCAAAACTGAGGAAAGAAAGTTTACCTTCTTTCATTTCTCACTGTGAGAAAAGGAGAGAAAGATTGCAGGTCAATACGTTGTTTGAAGTAGGATCAGACGCTGAATTTTCAAAAAAAACTAGCAAAACTTATTTTCATTATCAGTACAGAAGACAGACATTTCAGATGCTCCGATGGATTTTTAAGTAACAAACAGGTGTACCGAGTAAAAAACACTGTAAGCAGACAGGCTATCAGAGTATTTTAGTGCTGGTACAATCCATGAGCAACTGCTAAACCTTTTCTGTTTCTCCTGTTTCTATCTACGTAGATGCTTGTTTACCATATCGGTGCTCTAGGGCCCCAACACCAGTTAAGGTTTTAAGCATTACTCTGTCACAGAGAAGATGTCAAAGAGGTAGATGTTTTCGTTCCATTTATGTTCGAGCTCATCTGTAACTAAAGTCAGTATGATCTGCATTCTGTTTAAATAAAATAAACCATCAAAATAAAGACTAATTCAGTTCCAGCTGAGGAAAAACAGCCTTACATTTTCAGTTCAGAATAGATTTAACTCTGAGACTACAAGGATACTCACATCATAGTTCTGAGCGAGATACATCCCAACCACATTGCCAAGAGTAAAACCAAGCTAAAAAGGAAGAAAGGGAGAAAATAGTTAACAACTTTCCATCAAAAACATACTGGTTAAAATTAAAAAAAAAAGGAATATTACAAGTCATGTAAAGACTAAAGAGTTTCAATTCCATTCCTACTTAATTTCTCACCTTTCTTCCAGAGAGGTGCAATTTTACCCATCTTCTGCTCCAGGAAAACCTTGCCATCATTTCCAAAATACAGCATAGTTGTGTTTTCAATACATGTCTCCAAGACTATGTGGATCAGGCTACCATCATCTTTGTAAAATTTGCCATACACCCACAAAGGCAGTAACTCCTATAAAAATGGGGGAGATAGCAGCAGGGACCTACCTGTCACAGAGCTCTTGGTCCATGCCTGGAAAGCCTAACACAACACCCCACTAAAACAACGCTCAGTGCTGGAGAGGGACCCACATATACAAAGACATAACACAGTAATATACAGAAAAAAAAAAAGGTTCACAAGCTTGAAAGTCAGAACAGAGGCTCTGACTGCAAAAAGATCCCAGTCTCACCTTAAAAGGTTTAAGACTAGAGCTCCTCCATCAACTTAAACTGATGTAAACCTGCTATTTCTCTTCTACAACAACTAACAACTGTGCACCTTCCACACCCCTTCAACCCTAAGAGATTAGTTTTCAGCCAAATCCACTTTGTTCTCGGGGCTCCTCTAAGGCAGGAAAGCACTGTTGGTTGGAAGCAGAATACAACCTCTTTTGACAACTGTGCAAAATTGTAGTTGCTGAAGGGTGTCTGTGAAAATGCACCCTGGAAGGAGAGAGCAAAACAGAAGCACAGTTCCTGGCCCAGACTCTGTTTGCCAGCTGAGGAAAATCCTCAAGTCTAACACCACTTTTGGAGTGAATGAAATTCCTCTTGGATGTGATGAGAGGTGATGAGATTTTCATTCAGCAACTCCGCAAGATCCTAGATCTTATCTTTGTTGTTACATTTCATAATAAGTATGTCCTATACTACGAAAGCTCATTTGACTATTTTGCAAGGGGCCACTACTAAAATGGTGCCTTCATTCATTGTCAGTAGACAAATCATTCTATATGACAGCTGAGGCCAGTTCTACTTAAGAAAATTGTTGTTGCTTATGGTTACTGCTACCAAAATAAGAATATTTTAATAAAACCACTGTCCACAGTAATAACTTCACCATCACATACTGACTAAACATCTTTTCCATGCCCAAACCAGGATACAGTACAGCTCATCATTTCAGTGATTCAGACTCCGTAAGCATCACTGGTTAAAAGCTAGCTATAGAAAATTAAAATTGTTTGAAAACTGCCAAATGAACCATGACTGCAAGTTACTTCAGTATTTCCTGAAACAGATTTTTGGTCTTATTCTCTGTTTATTATTATTTTTTAAGAAGCTTAGCTTTAACAATTTAAGAAAAAGTAGAGTTCTTTTTGTGTGTACTGCACTGGTTATCATTTGCTCTTGTAGTTTCAATTATCAGTTAAAGAAGTACTCTGGGAGATATTACAAATATTGTACTGATTTAAACCAGACTTGTGACTCCTCTTAATGCGGAGCATCATTTTAACAGAGGAGAATTTCCTGTATCTTTTGCAGTGTCTGAGAACCCACCCAAAAACACAAACCAGGTCCTTGTTTATTAGTAGTTTACTAGGTTTTCAGCCTAGAACATTTCCAAAGATGAGACAACTATCACATTCTGCTGTGTGATAAAACTTTATTCTGTACAGATAGTACTGAGATCAGTACTGCCTTTAAGTGTACTCCTTTATTGAAAAGTCTAGCACCGCATTCAAGAGCAATCCATCCAATTACATTTACTTTTATAGTTGACAATTCAAGCAGAGGGAAAAAATTCACTATTTAGTCTTCAGTTATGTGGAAAGCAAAACATATTAATTAAATTGTGCATGTTAACTAAGGATAACAGAGCTAATGAGAATTCAAGGTCTTCCAGCAATTCAAGTTGCATTTTAAGTATATGTTTATTTAATGTTTAACTCTGGATAGCAAAAATGTAAAGTTCGCAAGATTATCCCTTTATCTCCCTGCTACAGCCCTAATAGGGGAGAACAAGAGCCAAACAGCCAATCTACACCCAAAGTGAGATGAAACCCAGAATTAGTACATCTTTTTTCTAACTTTAAGGCTCTAATCAAGAAGTCATAATTAATAAAAGATTTTTATCTAGCAGCAAAAAAAACCATTATCAGCAAGCATTAAGAGTTGACAAACAGAAACTTTGAGAGTGGCTAAGCATATTTACCCTTACTGTTATCATCCGAGTGGAGAGAGACTATAAACAGGTACAGAAATTACTGGGGCTTTCACACTTGTCATTACAAAGTCAAGATAAAAAAATAGGCCTTATTCATTTCATAAAAACATGCAAGACTCTCCCAACTTATGATAGGCCATCTCTTCTTGCTCTGTACCAATACTTGGTATGAAACTTATTAGCCAGCTAAATTACTCTTCCCCCAACAAAACATGAAAGTATATCGCTTATTGTTTGTACTTACTGGGACATATCTGAACACAACTAAAAACCTAGAGTATCTCTCACATCACTAGAATGAAAAACAGGAGGCTGTTTCTATGCTTTGCTATAGTAGAAACCAAGATCTTTTTGGTCAGGTTAATTTATTTCCACATTTGGCAGTAAGAATACCAGCATCGATTAAGTATTTAATGAAGAGTAGCCAAGCATCTAACTTCAGACACCCAGAAGAGTTTAGGGGAACATATAGAAAGACAGAAAGGAATGTTAAAATGAGAAAAGTACAAAAACATTCAGTCTATTAATTCTGCCTTTCTTAGAGGGATTTAATGAAAGGCAGTAATGAAACGTGATCCCTTGCCTTAACTTCTAAATATAAAAATCCACATCTCCAGCGATAAATTTTTAAGGGTGCACAAAATGGTAAGGACTGAAAACCCCTGCTCTCACAAAAGGAGGGAGGCACATATGCTGATACAAAGAAATTTGAGCGGCAGGAAGGCATCACCGTGAGCAAGCAAAATCTACTGAATCTCCCAGGCAAACTAACGGCACGACTTGGAGAAAAAAACAAGGCAGGAACTTCATTTTCAGAGCAGTTTTAAGGCACCGTTCTGCGGGGAGCACGGACAAACCCGGCGGTGCACGGCGGGTACCGAAAAGCGGGGCGACGCGACTGAAAGGCTCAGGGCGGCCCTGAAGGAGCCGGAGAAGGGAAACCGCCTGAAGCACACGCACAAGGATGCT